AAGGAAGTTATTTTTTGCGATTTTTACTGTCCACAAAACTCATTGAAAAATTTTAACATTGAACAGAAACGTACTCGGCAAAATAATTATTCTCCCTTGGCAAAATATTAACCTTATTTTTTGCCAAGGGAGTTTTATTAAAAAACTAACGTTTTCGATCTACTCCATAGATCATCCTCAGGTTTAAACATTCGAATTTGGACTAACAAAAAATAGAACACCAAATTCAAATTCAAAGAGATAAATACCGATAACGTAGCAACTATTTAAAATAAAAGTTAAAGCGTAAAAATACATAAATGTAAAAATAAATAACATACAACAATTAAATATTATTATTATAAGCCACTATCCTTTAACCAATAAAAATCATAATGGTTCCCATAACGCAGTTGCGGATAAGGCGCAATTCAAGAGCTACCTGTAAGTTTTTTAAGTTTTTGAACGGCGTACTTCCATGCTGAGTGTAGGCCCTCCGCATCTCTGGCGTTTATGCATTTTTCAACTAGCTTGTTCCAATATATTTCCATTTTTTCAGCAGTTTTCGCTAAAGTTGGGGAGTGCACTTGCTTGATGACTTCCGCATCCTCCCATCTAACTACGGATCCTTGGGCCTGAGCCATCTGGGCCAGAACTGTTGCGTTAGAACTTTTTCTAATATCGTATTTATGCTCTTTGACCCTTATTCCTAGGTTTCTCGTTGTAACTCCTATGTGCTCTTTTTCTATTCATAACTGCTGGTTTTCGTACGGGATCCTATAAACTCCTGCTTTATCTTCCTTTTTGATATCCCATTTATCATTTCTTAGAATCTTGTACAGATTCGGAGCTGGTTTTACGATCAACGTTGATCCTTTACTGTCCGCAATCTCCTTCATGATGGTTCTTACATCTTTGTTGAATGTACACTTTGTGTATTTACTAGGTTCTTGTTTTAAGGCTTTTGTATCGCCTATCTCAAATTTTCTAATAATGCCAGCGATTATGTTTTTCCTGTATCCCAAGGTTTCTGCTATCTGCATAATTATTTTCATTTCTTTATTTCTGTCCATAATGTTATGGCAATATAGAAAAGCACTTCTAACTAAGGCACGAAAAGCTGCTAATTTATAACGAAATGGATCATTGGACTGCGCAAGAATGTAGAGTGGGCTATGCGTTTGTTTAGTATAAACACTAGTAGATAAATTCCGTTTCTTAAAGATGATATTGATATCCAAGAAGTGTATCACTACGGAACTTTTTTGCTCTAGCTTCAGGTTCAGGCCATCTTTGTTATAGTTGATTCTTTCTATAAAATTACTGATTATTTTTCCATAGTATAAAGATATCGTCGACATATCTCTTGAAGTAAACAATATCATTTCTGAAGCTATGCACAACCTTTTCCTCTATTTTTCTTACCGCCAATTCGCATAGAAGTCCCGATATTGGGCTTCCCATAGGAACTCCCCTGTTTTGTTTGTACGTTTGTCTATTTTAAATTTGACTCGATATTAAAATTTGGATAAGGGGTGATACCTAGATCGGTAAAATACGCGAATTTCTTCCTACAACTTCAGTTGTTGTTCGGGGTACAGTTAAGGTTTTAACGAAGTTCAAGCGAATACATAATTAGCAAAAAAGTTGAAATAAAGTGATTAAACAAAAATTATTACAAATATCGAAAAATAACAGTTCACAAATGCATATATAGAGATATTTTTTGAAGGGGGAAATGGTCTTCACAATTTGAAATCGATCGAACACACACACAGTGCTCGAATGCTCGTGTAAACGCGCGCCATCTATCGTAGGATAAATGCCAGAAAGCTTCGCGGGAGTGTATTAAAAATCTTCCCAAAGCTTCATGGCAATCGTACTACGCCAGAAACTTTCACGGCAGAAACTTTCACATATTAAACAACTTCTCAAAGTTTCACGGCAATCGGATAAACGGTGTGGAAATGCATGAAGGACACACACACACACATACATTCATTTTTATATATATAGATTATTAGATACATTAAAGATGATCTATGTTACACAAAAAGTCTTCTTTTTTACCATCCAAATGTTATGTCTTTATATATTGTACATCTACTAACTTTCTAAAAATATTTTAAACTGAAAACGGATAAAATCCACATCCAAAAAAAAAGTCAATTATGCCGATCATATATAAATTACATTTTGTCGACGAAAAAAAACCGGTATAAATACAGTTTTTAGGTGTATCAGTTTGAACAATTTGTTAAATCCATAAAAAAATTAAAAAAATGTAATACGAAATTAATAGAAATAAAACTTCATTTTTTTCAACAATAGAAAGTTTATTGTTACACTGTTTGACAATACTTCTTTAACTCCATTGTTAAAAAAGTGCATTGTTGACTTTTCTGAGCTGAGTTTTCAGTCGACGGTCTTTCATTTTAAATCTTTCTAATACAACCGACAAACCGATTGCAATAAATATTCAACATTGCAATCCTTCTAGAATGCACAACGTNAATTATTATATTTATGTATAAATTATGATATAATAATAGACGTGAATTCCTTCGTAGATTCTGAATTTTATAAAGAGATTTGGTAAAGAATCGCTATGTTTGACATTTAGAGATTACCTCAAAATTACTAAAAAGTTCCCAGTAAAAGTAAGTTATGCAAGATGGTTTTGTAATATAATCAATAAAGTAATTTTAATGCTAAACCATAATCTTTATTTTTTAACATTCCAGATGGGAAGTTCTCTGTATTCTATATTTACTGGTCTCTTGAACACAAAGAAAGCCACAATATATAATAGTTAATGAGTTTAGAAAATTTCGCACATACAAGTTAGTATTTATCATGGATATCTTGCAACTAAAAACAAAACGTAAGATTATTATACAAAGCATAACAACACAGTATAACTTTGCCTTTGGTAGTGAAGGTCAAAATGCAACTACAGTAGAGCGTCGTTTATCCGAATTAATTGGAGACGGGGTTGTTCGGATAACTTATTTTTCGGATAACCGATTACGTACGAAAAAATATCCCATGTTAAAATTTTTCTCCGTTGCGTGTCGCTTCGCGTTGAATTTTCGNTTAAAAAAAATTTAGAAAATGGACACTTCGATAAATTTTGATACTAAAATGATAATAACCTGGCAATCATTTGCAATTTGTTAACATTCTTGATATATCGTCAGTCTCTCATTACTGTATTTATTACACAAATCACATTAATCGATCTTTTGTAAGCGATTTTATCGTCCTACTGAGTTAAGGACATAAAACAATATTCTAGCACATCTTAACGAATTGACAAAATCTTACAACTTTCTCTTCACGAAAACTGCGATTAGAATGACAGATCTAGGGTATGCAGTTTAACGACCTGTTTGCTTTTTTATTCAGATATAGTAACAGTAACAGTAACAGTAAGTTATTGGTTTGAAAAAGAAACGAGCAATTATTTATTGTGACAATGCCTGGTTGCAAATTTTAGTCATATTTTTATTTTACTTAATTTAAAATATATGTTCTCCATCTCAAATTAGTAGTGGCTGGTCCCAGTTCTGTACATCATGTTTCCTTTAGTAATGGAGTTGTGCCAGATCTAATATCTTTCGAGAGAAAATATATCAATTGAAATTACCTGATTCCAGTTGGCATCGAAAGCTCCAATATAGTTAAACAGAGCCTCCTGCCTCTAAGAATTCCAATTCTGGTCGCGAGTTTTAAATGGATATTCTGCAAAAAGAGGAAGGTATCTTTGAACAAAAATTCGATAAAAGTATAGAGAAAGGTATAGGGGAAAAATCGAACTGGCAAAAAACCTACCTAAAGCTGGCTTTAAGTAGGTTTTTTGCCGTAGATAGTTGTAGTATAGCTACAACTGTCTATCACCGCTCTCGAGATAAAGGAAAGAGAGAGAGAGAAACACAGACAGCGACAGTGAGAATTTATAGGGGTACAATTTTTTTTAAAATTGCAGTACAATCACATATTTGTAGGTGACTGCATATTATTTTAAAGTAAAACTACGTGCTTTTATCAAGGTTATTTGGCAAAAATCTGATCTTATCTGATAAAGTAACATTGAAATATTTTTTATATAAACAACACTTTTGCAATTACTCTTCGACCTACTTAAGCAACACGAACGTTATAAATTAATTTATAATAACTGATTTTTCTTATCACTTAAATAAACTTCACAAATATAGTTAAACGGAGCCTCCTGCCCCTGAGAATTTTAAATCTGGTCGCGAGTTCTACCTATCTATCACCGCTCTCGAGATGACGAAAAGAGAGAGAGAGAAACACAAAGGACACTGAGAATTTATAGGGCTTCAATTTTTTAAAAATTGCAGTAAAATGACATATCTGAAGCGGGAAGTGGCTACATATTTTTTAAAGTAAAACTACGTATTTTTATCGAGATTATTTGGCAAGAAAACTGATCTTATCAGATAAAGAAACATTGAAAGATTTTTTATATAAACAACGCTTTTACAATTAATCTTTGTCCTATTTCAGCAACTCAAACTTTATAAATTATAAATTATAAATTATTATAAAATGACAAAAAGTTCGTTTTCACAGTATAGTTGAAAATTATAAAAAAATAATTTTGATTTTACTCGAGATATGACACACAATCTTTATCATATATTTAATGAATTAAATAGAAATTATGTAAATAGTAATTTATTTGCAGCATAGTTTCACTAAATTTTGATTATTTCTACATAAATATAATACCGAATTGAAGTAATTGCTCGCTAGCTTTTTTTATTATATAAAATAATTAACTGTAATATATTTATCAATTTTCATACAATCCATCGTTTTAAATGAAGTGTAATATTTTTATTGTAATATATATTAAGTTGTAATATACAGTGTAGTAGAAGCATTTTATATTTTTAGTATAACATAAAGTGTAAAATATTTCTATTATATTAGTAACGTTCCACTTTCTTGATATCGCAATTAAACTGTTTATTATTTCAAGGTTTTTTGAATATAAATAACTGAATAAACCTTTACACTTTAATATGCTAATAATTTTTGTGTGGTAGATGTATAGACTTTTTAAGTAATACTGCACACTCAGTTTATAGCTCATCTCAGATGCGAGATATTAATACAAAATGGAGAGGAAACAGAAGAGTAACCCATTCGATTCAGCTGGTGTTTTCTCTCGTGCGTTTTTTTGGTATGTAAAATTATTTAAACGTTTTAATAATTGTTTAATAAACTCTTTAGTAATATGACTTTAGTTTTGAGTTAAAGATGCAATTTTTTTCAAAAATAAAGCAAAAGAAAAGTATAGGAATCGGTCAAAAATGATTCCCCTTAATATTTTTACATTTTTTGGACTCAGGACAACTTTAAACGTCGAAAAATGCAAAAAACTTGGAGCGTTTATTTTGTATGTATGGATGTTAGTGTATATGTATGTGCGTGGCACGACTTTGTTCGCCGTGTTTGGAGCATATTTACTTGTGTGCTTTTTGTCAAAAATTTTTTAGATTTCTCAAGGAGATATCATTATTAAGGTAATAAATGCTATTAAATTGTGGTTATTAATAGTCAAGGGAGACATAAGGGGGATTGTGTGACATATCTCGAGTAAAATCAAAATTATTTTTTTATAATTTTCAACAATACCGTGAAAACGAACTTTTTGTCATTTTATAATAACTACAGTATAAATAGGTGTTTTTATAAAATACAATTTCATAACAGATGACGCCATGAAATGTTGTCGGGAGAGTTAAGCAACTGTTTGCTGCATTTGTGTAATGTCATTAGTTTTTATAGGTACAGTAGAGCCTCGATTATCCGATCCCCGATTAATCGACACCTCGGTTAACCGACCTAGTCGGTAAATTTCAAATGTCAGCTAGTTATGTTGCGCTACAATATTTGGCTATGTTTTGGCTACATTAATATTATTTTTACGTGTTTTAGCTGGCAACACTGGTCGACCATGAAAGGGAGCCACTATTTAAACGAGGCTTAATTTTTTAATTTTTAACGATACAATAGCGACGATTATTATTTTAAAAAATTTTTGTTAGGGTTAACATCGATGAAACTTCAACGCGAAGTAGGTTAATAGCGATATACTAATATACTAATATACTAATTACATGGGATATAATAATATACTACACTAATAATGGATTTTTTTATACTTTTCGGTTATCCAACTTTTCAATTATTCGACCAACCTTAATCCCCAATTGAGTCGGATAATCGAGGCTCTACTGTATGTGCATAAATTTACTATAATTTTTGTATTTAAGTGTTTTAATGTTACCGAACTGGAGAATCAACAGCAAAACCTGCTACTTGCAGGAAATTGCGAAATTTATATATTCATAAGGAATTGATGTGTAGTTGACAAAACTTTGATATATATAAGTTATAAATATTTTTTCAGTCAAACAATTATGCATTGTTATACTGTAGTAGATATTGAATTAGTTTATATTCTATTCCCATATGTTATTCAAAATATATTTCGAAAGTCAACTTTATCATTTATTTCTCCGTAATATCTTATACAGTATAAGTATTCATGCAGTAGAAAGATGGAAGTTTCTATAAGAAATTTAAGTTAAGATAAATTATTATTCCTTGCATAATTATACTGTTATTGTCACTAAGTTTAATCATTTTTTCTGGAAACTAACAAAGCTATTATCTATAATTTAGGTAATAGCTGGCTATCATACAATAAAATATATTTTTGCAATGTAATGAAAATTTGTCATTAACACTTTGATGCATGTATGTATCAGGACAAAAATTTTAATATGCGATCTTACGAATAGCGAACGACGATTTACGCATATTAATAATATTTCACACCTACATTTATAACGCAATTTACTAAAAGAATGATTGGTAAAACTGAAAAATGGGTTTTAAAAATAAAACAAATTTATCGTTTTTTTGAGTTATACGAAATTAATATATTAATATAATATATACATTTAAAAGAAGAGAAAATATTTAACGCTAGAAAAATTTATTTAATATACGTTTTGAATTTGTCACAATAAGAATTCACTTGTTGACAATATACGTTGGATAATTTAAATATCGCTTATATTTTACAACCCTTCAACCATGATTTAAAATAAGGAATAAAATATTTTGTTGATATTAAGTTAAAGTTGTTTATATATAAGCAGATTAAATTTGTCTTCATAGTTCTTGTTATTCTTCTAGTAGTTGTACTTCTATCCACATACAGACTGTTTCTCTATTTTTTTTGTACATATATATAATATGAAATGTAATTATACAGTACTGATATATAATGTTGGAAAAGCATTACAGTGGATCAAGGAGTCAATAGATAACAGTGGATGTAATAATAAAATTACATCATCAATTTTGGAGTTTATTTGTTTGCTTGAAATATTTGATTAATAATGTCGGGATGGAATCGCCCGTTACACGATTTCCCGCGCTTTTCCATCTTAGACGAACCACGGTTGTCGACATAGAAAGGGCAATCTGACAAATTTTGGAAACTCGACCACGGATTGGTTGAGAGACATTGCACCATCAGCAGACGTCTTGTAGCGCTACTAAGCGCTGATTGGTGAAATCTAGGATTTGGGTCCCGGGACGTCTTGTGTCTCGAAGTCCCGGAACTTTTTCTAAATTTTGGTTTTCTCTATGCTCTTAGCGAGTTAAAAAATATTCGAAAAGAGCAAATATTAAAAAACTGTCAAGATTTAAGCTCAGTCTTACAAGTGGGTAAGAGCAGTGACTTCCAACCTTACGAATTATATGAAGAATTACAAACAATGATTCCGAATTTATCCAACTTCATTAAAAATGTGAAACAGTTGCTCCAATACATAACAGAAAATAACGAAAGAAATTTACCCAAATATTTCCATTGTCATTCGAAGTTTGTTAACAATACCGGTAAGTACGCCTACGCTGAAAGTTGCTTTTCAAAATTAAAACTAATAAATAATTATTTAAGAAATACAATGGGTCTGGAAAGACTTTCAGCTTTGGCAGTTTTATCTATTGAAGCCTATATAGTATATAAGCTGAATTACGATACAATTATTAAGGAGTTCAGTAAGGCTAAAAGCAGGAAATTTCTGTTTCTTTAAATTTTTAAAATTTTTATTCAAGTAATGTTAGTCAAAGAATATAGTTTGCATTTTTATGAATATAAATTTGACAGTTTCAACTGCTTTTTATTTTATAAAATCCGTCTTTTTGCGCCACCAGAGGGCCTCGCAAAATGTACCTTGCCCACATCAAATTTAGGTCTTGCTCCGCCACTGGTCACGTATCAACTAAAATGATGGAAATAAAGCCAAGTGTTTATTTATAACTCAAATGTGAGTTTGAAGTCCATTAAATTATCTTTTACAGGAAAATCATAACAGTAATTTTTTCCAATTAATTGTTTAGTAAGAAGTAAGCCAGTGATTGTTTCAGAGCTCAGTTTATTTCTTTGTTTCTTGTTTAACAGATTTATTTACAAAAATATTCTTTCTACATTAGCTGAAGAATGGGGCAGACACAAGATATTCTCAACAAAACCAGATAAAGTCTTTTCACTAAAGACTCTTACATTATATAAGAAATGAAGGTACAAAGAAATGTTTTATTGAGAATTTTTAGTTACATTGAAAAGAAAAATTTCTTTCTTAAATTATCATAAACTTTTCTGTAGATTTGGTGCTTCAATCGGTAGATCGGTCCCAAAATCCGTAGATTTACCGAAGATTTGGTAGATGTGGCAACATTGATTGTAGATTACACTGCCTTCTGTGCCTTGAAATAGATCTACAAATATCACCCAACTGATTAATTCGTAATTTTAAAACACACCTCTGTTTTAAGTTCTTGTGTTTGTACGAAGCTTTGGTTGTTGTACTTTTACATTTGTAAAAAACAAGTAGACAACATTCAATGTTAGGAAAGGCTTCTTTTTCTCCTGTGAATTGGTTTTTCTGGCATGCAAGTATTTAACCGATGCATTTATTGTGGCTATGTTTACCATTTAACAAAACAGTCATGGTCCCCCTATGAGTATGTTTGGACTTTATGTTATAGCATATTTAGCAGAAGTTTCCCATGCACATAGAACATGGGGACAAGATCGCCTATGAATTCAAAACTTGAAGGATTTCCTTCACGTTTTCTACAAGCATTAAAATTATAACAAATATTCTTTTGTTTTATTGTTCTCACCAATCTAAATTATACTGCTTCTTCCTCTGCCAATAGCTGATGCCACCATATAGACTACATGTTCCTACAGGAATTCATAAATTTATGATATTATTAATGCTTTTTTTTGTTTAATCAGCGTCAATCATGTTTTGTAAATGCACGCGTTGAGTGTCAAACATTCTTGAGCGTTCTCCTGCACTAGCATTATTTTTGCAGAAAGAACTCGTAGCAAGCGTCCTGGTTAACAGAAACATATTTCAATTTCGTTTCTAACACAGCATAAACTACCCATTGGCTGAGATTATTATATTTGTTGCATCCTTATAAGCGTTCAGATTTAAGGCATTTAATTTGAAACCATGTATATGTAAGTTCGCTGACTTCCTGGGGGGAATCGTTAATCCCGCGTCAGAATGATCTAGGGTCGAACGCGTGTGGGTGTGGCGCAGGAGACACAGATGACAAGAATCTCACAGAACCCGTTTATTTTAAACATAAATTTAAACTTACACCTAGGAACAAATATTGTCGAAATACAATCGACTGTTTGGACGTCGATAGCGTCGATGCTCCTGTAGCGGTTTATTGCTTAGTCGGCCTCGAGGCAGTGATGTTTTCTGGTTCGTGAGACTCCATTGGTCACGACAGCAGGATTTTGGTATCGGCACCAAGACGAAAAAGATTCTTCTCCAGTTTTTATTTGACTCAGCACTTCCGAATTTTCACACACTTTTGTCTTGGCTCGCCGAGTGTCGTGTCGAGTGCAGTCTTGCCGAGTGTCCTGTCGTGAGCCGTCTTGCCGAGTGTTCCCCCTTGTCCTTCAAGATCGGGGATTATATCAATCTCTGTTCTTGGCTTTGTTTTCTGATTGGCTCCCTCGTCTGTCTCTAAGCGAAAAACGACTCCTTTTCGAGTCACGAGAAAGATTCGCCTTGAAAAATCTACTTGACACCATCCGTAACTCTGGATGCAAAATGTTGATGGAAATTTGAAACTTGCGCTCATATTTTTCGCCATTGTTGTCTAGTCTGTGACGTTTTTGAAATTTAACGACACGACGCGATGTCCTTTTCGTCATTAATCTTTCCTCTTTTCAAAATTTCTATGGTCGAATTAAGTGCATATGAGCGACTTTTCAAAGGTCCATCTCTACTGGAGGTCGTTTGTTTACAATTATAAATTATTTAAAATTATCACGTTCTGTTTACATCAATAGCGTTTTTTTCTCTCTCGTCGTGGTTTCATATGACTAACACAACTAATTCGATCTTTGATCGGTTTTTAACAATAGACGATTTTTCTCCTTGTTTCGTTTTAATAAATTTCTAATAATTAAATATTTAATTTTAACTCATTTTTGGGGCTTCACATTAATAAAAATTTGAGCAATGATAACAGCTCAATTATATTTCTCACATCAGTTATAAAAAGAATAATGAATCACTGAATTGTTTTACACACACATTTAAATCCGTGAATGTTATTCACTAATTTATGNGTTTCGTTTTAATAAATTTCTAATAATAAATATTTAATTTCAACTCATTTTTGGGGCCTCACATATAAACCAGGAAGAATTTTTTTCTCAATTAATTATAAAATGAGAGAGATTAATGTGGAAGTAAATTGTAAATTTATATTTTTTTTGTGTCTTCATACTTACCATTTATACTTCTCTGTATACATTCTCTACTTGGGCCTTGTTTATTAATAGGACTTATTACACTGGCGATGTTTCTGATTAGCAAAGAGAAGAAATCTTAGTCAAAGATTAAAATAAAAAATTATTAGAGAGCATGCGGCCTTTTCTCGCTATGAAAACTTCAGCCACAAATCTATTTTATTAAAACACTTTAATTCACATCTTTACAAACGTATGAAACAATCATTATTTCTGCTAAAACAGTATTATTCAATAATAATTAATGTGGCAAATAAAGTTTTTGTTATAGAAATATGTATATTTTTTGGATAAACTTCTTTGATTCTAGAACATTTTTTTTAAAAATCAATTATTGATTTAGCCTTCCTTTATTCAGTTTCTAAAACAAATTAAAAAACTCACAGTTATAATTTTTGTGATGTCATGATATATCACGGCAGCACTACTTTACAACATTTTCTTGTAATGAAAACGGTCTCGCCCCTGGTTTATTTTTATTCACTATTGTGATTTTTTTTACTCTTTTCCCCGTGTACGTTATTCTTGATGTCATCGTTAAAGATTCGTGAAAATGGATAACTTCGATAAATGAAGATTTCAAAATAAAATTTTCATCTTAAGAAGTAAAGATTACTATAACTGTGAATGTTAGTATCGGCTGAAAATTTCACATTAATATAGCAGGTTTTGTATGCGCTATAAATTTACCTTATATCACTTAAGAAATGTTTGAAATATCTTTTCGAATGTAGTAGTTAGAAGCGTGGTGTGATATATCAAGGGTGGGCAAGCAAGAGTTTAGTGGGAGCCGAAATGTAAGTTTTGCAAAATGCATGGGAGCCGCAGTGCTGTACTTTTTTATTCTGTACCGCGGTTCTGTATTGCGATTTTATTATATAATATAAATATTATATAAAACGAATATTGAATTTTTTAAATATACATATTTTTACAAAATTGGGGAAATAAAGTTATAAAAATAATAACAAAAAGCAGAAATTAACACTTTCAGCAAGAGCCGCAGGTAACTCAAAAAGAGCCGCATTTGTTCATGGTGGTAATATATACAATAATTTTTCATTGTGTGTGTGTTTTTTTATTTTTATTACGCATACTGGACACACTCCTTGATGCAGGGAGATAAACCACCTCTCCCCCAAAAAACGAAACACTTAGATACAATGAACATACAAATCATTAGAAAATTATACATAATTTATATAAATAGCAATTTAGATATAAATTAAAGAATTAAAAATCAAATGTAATAATTACTTAAAGTTTAAAGTTAAAGCTAATAACACAATAATTTTTCATTGTGTGTTTTTGAAAATTTGCACTTCTTGCTTGAATATTGACAGTAATTGTTGATATCTATATATCTATACCTATATATATATATAAANTGTAAGGAGGGTTCATTTAAATGTAAAAAAATAGAGTCCATGATTTCATTTTTGATTAGAAGGGTTAACGTGACAATGTTTGCACCAGGGGTGGGCAAGCAAGAGTTCAGTGGGAGCCGAAATATAGGTTTTGCAAAATGCATGGAAGCCGCAGTTCTGTACTTTTCTATTCTGTACCACAGTTCTGTATCGTGGTTTTATTATATAATATAAATATTATATAAAACGAATATTGAATTTTTTAAATATACATATTTTTACAAAATTGGGGAAATAAAGTTATAAAAATAATAACAAAAAGCAGAAATTAACACTTTCAGCAAGAGCCGCAGGTAACTCAAAAAGAGCCGCATTTGTTCATGGTGGTAATATATACAATAATTTTTCATTGTGTGTGTGTTTTTTTATTTTTATTACGCATACTGGACACACTCCTTGATGCAGGGAGATAAACCACCTCTCCCCCAAAAAACGAAACACTTAGATACAATGAACATACAAATCATTAGAAAATTATACATAATTTATATAAATAGCAATTTAGATATAAATTAAAGAATTAAAAATCAAATGTAATAATTACTTAAAGTTTAAAGTTAAAGCTAATAACACAATAATTTTTCATTGTGTGTTTTTGAAAATTTGCACTTCTTGCTTGAATATTGACAGTAATTGTTGATATCTATATATCTATACCTATATATATATACATATGGACATGTATGTTACTATATTTCACTTTTCCAACAAAACTACACATCGCACGTGAATATTGTTTGTATATGGTAGTCGCCCCATGTCTCCATTCGTGCACTATGGTAGTTGTCTCTCGATAGCTATAAGGGTGCGGGAGATATGGGCTTGAAAGTGGTTAAAAGTGGCTTTCTATTTCGAATGTTTTGTTCGAATTTGTTCGAATTAAATTCTAACATAAAATTCGAATATTGGTTCGATTATAGAACGATTGTAAACGTTCCAGAAACG